GGCCACCTAATACTAACTTTTCCTCCTTGTGCCTGTCAAGACATGAGGCCAGGGAAAGGATTTACTGGGTAAGAAAGCAAGGCACAGGGAGTCTTTAGGGGACAAGAGGGGGAAAGCGCTGTGCACAGATGTAGGCACCGAGTGATTATTTCAACAGGACTCCGGTCAACTTTACATGGTGCTGCCCCATCATGAGAACCTGGGCTCTAGGCCTGCAGAGAAACACTCAGTCTTGTTGGAATGGGGGGTGGGCAGACAAGTTTCTGAAGAAACTCTTAGCGTCGCCAAGGCGGTTCTGTCTCTCAAGAGAAACTGAATCTTTGATTTCCGTCACACCACAGTCAAATGCCACTGGCAGACCCACAGTTCTCTCTCTCGACTCAAATGCCTTTTGTTTGAAAGAATGATATTTTATCTGGAAACATCAACAGGCAGGCCCCGTGAGGTGGCTAAAAATAGCAGAAGTCTCCCAGACTTGCCCAAGGGGGTCCTAATCCCACGAGAGAGCCCTCCTGACAAGGAGTCTACTGATCTACAACATGAATCCCTCCCCAAGATAAAAGGACCATCTTGGCTTTCAGCAGTGGCCAACCAATAGTGATCCTTCAAATTCCGTGAACCCCTCATGAGTGGGAGGCCCAAATCCAGGGGTCAGAAAGTCTGTAGTAGGAGGGATCCGGGGCCACGCTTCTGGTTGCACTGCCGTTTGCCGTAATGCTTCAAAGTTTACAAATCTTTAGACAAAAGCCTTTTAAAACAGGTAGTTTGTTACTCCCATCTTACACATAAGGTGACTCAGGATCAGAAAAGTGAAATTCCTTGTGGGGGGCCACACTGCTGTTGAGGTTCAAAGCCAATGTTGTCTCTCATCTCACCAATACACCAGAAAGTCTAGACTGGATTTGTAAGGCGTGAAGCAGGGAAAAACATAGAGTTTTTTGATATCTGAACACAAGTGAGAATCAACACTGGTGTGGTTGATAGAAGGCTGGGCTCGGAGTCTGGAAGGGTTGGGTTTGAGTCATACTAACAGACTGCACACAACATTAGTGTCCCAAGGAGCTAAGTCTGCTAGTTACATATGAGTGACCGATGTGCATTGATGGAAGGGGTTTCCATGCCGGGGATTCTCAATTGATAAAATGATGGGTCCAGGCCAAAAGAAAAATAAAAAGTCACAATTATACCTCTAAATGATTCACAAAGTTCTCACCACTATACCAGAATACAGTTAGACTGGAAGGTCTTCAGGGGCAGGCCCTGTGTCAAGGTCTAGTAGTTACTATCCATCCCAAAATGCTTGGTCCAGTGTTATGAATCTATCCAAAAGGTTCTTAGAAACATGGGAGGAAATGTAGTCCAGTGGAAAGAACACTGGTTCTGGTGTCAGAAGATCCGGGTTCAAATCCTGCCTTTCACACTTAACTACCTGTGCAATCCTAGGCAAGTACAACGTTCCAGGGCCTCTGTTTCCTCATCTGTAAAATGAAGGCGTTGCACTAGCTGGCTTCTGGGCTCCTATTCAGCTCTGAAGCTAAATAACCCCACGACCCTATGAGAGGGTGGACCTCAATGGTCTTTAAGGGACCGTCAAGTTCCAAATTCATCTACTTGTCGACTAAACAACGAATAGAATGGAGCTGGTCATGCCTTCCCCATCCCTTCTCATAGCAAGGTGACTCTGTTAACTCTTTCACAGGGTGCAGGGAGGAGGTGGGATAGGTTGTATTGGGAGGTAGTGGGAGGGCTTCCAACGAAGGCTGGGTGACCCCCTTTCATGTGGAAGGTTAAGAAGAGGAAGCTTTTTCAGGCACAGGTTTCTTCCAAATCTGAGATTCGAGGCATTGGGGAAACAAGGTGCTTTCCTGAAAGGCCAATGAGTCATCTGCCAAAACACTTTCTTGATTATCTGAATTTTAGCCATCGCTCCAATGCCTGGTTGGAATAGAAAGCCTCATGTACTCCTGGGCCTTATAAGCTACAGCCCGGTTCTCTCTGGCAAGGAAGACTCAGCTCCTGCCTGAATTTACAACTCATGGGAAAAAAGTGATCTATACTAACAGCATTAGAGAGGAGCTTTTCATTCCTATCTCTGTCAAAAGAGCAACGCAGAGGTCCGTCAGTGAACAGGAAATAGTCTGGCCTTTTCAATGCAGAGTCTAACCATGAGGGGCTTGTTTTCTGAGCCACAGAAACTAAACCTGGTTGTTTCCATGTATCTCTAGATCTCCTGGTCTGTAGGTCTAAGGGGAGATATTTAAAAACGATGATGCATGGGCCATGAGTCAACACATGTGTCCCACAGATATGTAACACTCATTTTACAAGGAGTCTGTGAGAATGCTGCACGGCTTGCTGGTCTACCGAGGGTCAGATTTCTGAGTTTTCCACAGCAGTTTCAACACTCACTGGGCTAATGTGGGCAGGTCACGCTCTGAAACTCACCTCCTTCCTTTAAAGGATGACGCAGCATGACATGGAGGCTAGGGGGCTGGGATGGTGTGGAAGCACAGAAGGTTATTCAAGATGGTAGACAACAGCATGTCACAGTGCAATGTGCACACAAAAGAGAGCCTAACCTACTGGTAAACGCACACCTGAGCTGTTTAAAGCTTATGGGAAGGACAGAAGGAGAGCAGAGCCAGGAGGATGACAGGATAATGGGACTTTGAGCTTATCTGTGACCCATTTTCCACATAAGAAAAGACTAAGCAGAGATCACAGACAGTAAGTAAAGTGGCCACCAACACCTTAATCAAAGTTCGCTGAACTGAATCATCATGGCCACTGCCGTTATAGACCACCTCTCCCTGTGCCCAGACCCTTTCTAGCTTTTCCTAGGGGACGTGACACCTCTTATTGAAAAGGTTCCAGCTGGTACCAATTGCTGTACTTCCTGGGCCTCAGAATGTCACAAGAGTTCATTGGAAAGACACGTGTCCTTGGAGCTCTGAGAATCATATCGGGCCCAAGGGTGCGTGGTGTTTCTTTCAGGAGAGCATAAGCCTCATGCACAGCTGTAGAAAATTGCACTCCTTGGCACAAATGGGGTCAGCTGCTCAGGCGGCCTCAATCCAGCCCCACAATTCTGCCCAAAGTTCCTGCCGCAGCCACTAAGGGCTGCGGACAGAGTGGGACTGGCTGTGGCCGGGCAGCTGTGTCTCAGCAAGGGATTCTGAAGCTGGTCAGTCTGTCAGTCAATAAACACTGATTAAGCACCTTCTACAAGCACTCGTGTGAAGCCCAGGGGCGAATCCTAAGGCCAGTTTCACAGAGAACTTCCCCTTCATACTCTATCCCCTAGTGCACAATGTGCTGCAGATAAAGACAACATTTCCTGAGGATCTCAAAGCACCCCTCCTTGCAGTGGTTATCATGTGGCTGCAGGAGAATGGGATTTAAAATCAGACGGCTTAGATTCAGTCATTTATTACCTGTGTGATCCTAGGCAAGTCATTTCTGAGCTTCAGGACCCTGATTTTACTAAGAAGGAATTTGCACTATTTATATCACAGGGGTATTTGTGAGGATCAGATGAAAAAAAGAAGGGAAAGGATTTTTGTGAAGAGGAAAACATGGTATGATTGTCAACGACCGTTATCATTATCATTAGTATTCTAAGTATTAATAATGATAATGCAACAGGTCAGCCTAACCATCCACACAGGAAAAATCAAGGGGATAAAAAAATTCCCAGTGTCCAAATTATCACACAAAACAGAGCTCATATTTTCAGACACTAAAAATCGACAAGGTGGGCCCCCAATTTAAGAGCGGGAGAAGAGACTGGACTGGGAGATCACAAAGCTCTTTTAATGACCCTAAAATTCTCCCTGAAATAAAGAACCATCTTTTTAATCACCCTGTTGTAGGACCAGAGGCTGGGGTTTGCTGGAACCAGTTCAAACTTGCACTGGAGGGCAGATTGTTAAATTTTCTGTGGGAGCATTTACACCTTGGAAATCAGCAAATGCTACAAATCACGGCTTGGTTTATTGTTCGTTCATTGTCTAGTCCTCAGAGAGTGATGGACAAAATGTCAGCGATGCAGAATAAACTTGAAAGTGGGCCTCGCGCCTTCATTAGTTGAACAAGGAGCAGGACTATGGGTAAAAGAGGGTACCAGCAGTGCTGGGCAGAGACCTCCTTGGGACAAACCAGACCGGGGCAAAGAGGGGAAGTCCCCCAGTGCTTCTCCATTTCCCCCACTCTGAGGTTGGTAGAGCCAGGACAGGGACCCATAACCTGAAGTTTGTGAACTTGTTTTAAAAACATTTTGAGTGTAATTGGTTTCCTTGGGAATCTTAGGTTGTATTTTATTTTGTGCATCTAAAGACAGTATTCTGAGAAAGGTCGCCAAAGGGGTCCATGTCACAAGAAGGCTGAGCATCCCAGAGCTGGGGCTTTTGAGGGAAAGGGAAGGCACCTCCTCCTTACAAGGGACAGGGCACTGGCTATGGCCTTGGGGCCTTTGGGTATCCCAAACGGCAATGAGAAAGGAGCCGATCTGAGAAAAGCTTTCAGCACCAGAGCTCAGCGTGGGCACGGTGTCGGCGTCCAGAGCCTTTCCTGTAGTGGGCACTGAGGGCACTCTGGGAGCTCTCTGCAAGCTGGCCCTTGGAGGTGGGGGAGTTAAGGGGTACCGTACCCATTCCAGGGTTAAGGTCACAACAGAAGGGTGAGTCCCTGATGACACAATAACCTGAGATTCTGTAGAAACTACATGCAAAGGACCTGCCATTCCGCTGTCTCTCTTTCTAGGCACACAGAAAGACTAGCCAAATTCTGGCTTCTTGTTTTCATTCCTTGTTTCTATCACCACACCCCTGATCATCTTTCAGTGGAGTTACCCAGCATTGCCTGAGCATGGGGCGGCTGTTTCTGGGAAGCCCCTCCCCTTGAGGGGAGACAGAAGCAGGAGCCCAAACTCAGGGGGTCCCCAGGATGGGCTCCCCTTCCCCATCCCCTCTCCTCCAAACAAGGCCTGAGAAGGCACCTACCAAGATGTCCAGGCAGGCTGCTTTCAAGAGGGTGATCTGATCCGCGATGGTCAAACTCGTGAAGCCTGGCAGCCTTTTAGCAAACTCCACGATTTTGATAATGCACTTCGTGGCCAGCTCACTGAACTTGTCCCAGAGGCCCAGGTCCAGGCGCACCCGATGATCGGCACTGGAGTTCTGGCAGCGGAAAGGAGAAAAAAAAAGAATTAGAAAGAGCAACATCGACCAACGCTCTTGGGTTCAGGGAAGCCAGTGCTTGCTTGCTTTGCAAATGAAAATAAACACTTAAAAAAAGGGACGGAACAGAAGGCTGCCTATTAATGATGGGCTAACATTCCAGGCATTTTCAACCGAGTTTCCTGGCGGGGTGATGTTGTTTTTAGGCAGTATCTGCCTCTAAAATTCTTGGGATGTTTCGTGATTCATCATAACTGATGTGGTTGCATGCACTCAGCCGATGAGGGAGTTTAAACATTTCCACATGGTGTGGAACCTCCTGCTGTGGGGAAGCCCTTGAGAAAGACTTTCCACTAGAACCCCAGGAAGGCTGAAGGAAAGAGCCGGATTGTTCCGTACCCAGGAAAACAAGCTGAGTCAAAATACTAGGACCAGGGATTTCCGACTCAAAGAATCACATAGAAGAGTCATCCTATAACACACGACTACCCTCCAGGAAGAACATTTCCTCAGCCGGCATTAGCGTCCCCTCTGCTCCTTACCAGAGGTGACCAGAGCTCAGCTCCTTAACCCGGCGAGGCCTCAGTTTCCTCATCTGGAAGATGGGATACACTTCTTTCCCTCTCTAGATGTCACTTTCCCCCCTCTGAGCCTCAGTTTCCTCATCTGTAAAACAAGGATGTTGGACTGTATGACCTCAAAGTCTCCTTCTAGCTCATTTCAGCCCTCTTCGGGAGGAAGCTCCTTCCTTTGTGAAATGAGGGTGTTGGAGCAGACGGTCTCCCAGCATGTGGATACAGTAGGGGCTCAATAAGTACTTCTTGCTTGACTTCCCACTGGAACATTCTTCGCCTAATGCTTCTTCCAATTTTGAATATGTTCCTACGAACAAGTTGACGGCATCTCTCTATGAATTCCATTCAAATGGTACATCAGCTTATTCCACGGCCTCTAAACCCTCAGACTCAAATCTGGCCTCCGACCCTTACTAGCTGTGTGACCTTGGGCAAGTCACACTTAACACTATTTGCCTCAGTTTCCTCATCGGTAAAATGAACTGGAGAAGGAAATGGCAAACCACTCCAGTATCTCTGCTAAGAAAATGGGGTCATGGAGAGTCAGACACAGCTGAAAAATGACTGAACCACAAACAACAGAAGGGCTTCCCTCTTTCATCCCCCTCTGCACAACACGGGGGATGCTCGGGCAGTCTTTATGCCTCTGTATACACACCATGAGAGGCAGTGTGGCTCAATGCCTGGAGAGCCCACTTTCTAGTTGGGAAGAGCCAGGTTCAAGTATTGCCTCTAGCCCATGTTGGCTGGATGACCCAGGGACCTTGGACAGCTCACTGAAGAGCAGCAACTGTTCTAAGGCTAGATGATAGAGTGACCTTTCCACAACGCTGGAAGGAGTTTCCACACTGGAAGACCCCCACACAGAGGAGCTCAGGGATCAGAGAACACCAGAGCAGGCTAGGGGGTTGGGAGCAGTGTCCGAGGAGGACGTGGCATTACCTATCACTGGGGCATGGCCGTGGAAGATTTTAGGGCCATGGGCTGTTGACTGTCTGTCAATGGCACATCTACCCAGCACACGGATGCCAGCAGGCCAAATGGACGAACGAGATCAGTATTTGGAAAAGGAAGGACCCTATGATCTGGAGCTGGAAACGACGCCAGAGCTCACCAAGCCTCGAGAGGGGAAGGGAGTCGTGCAGGCCACACAGGAGGGCAGGCAGCAACGGGAATACCTTGTATGACTATTTAATGCTCTCTGGCTCCTGGATATTTCATGGGGGTTTTCTAGACAATTAATCAAAGGGTCAATTCTGGAGTCCGGGATGTCACAGGGGTGCGAGGAACTCCCAAGGAAGAGCTGGGTGGTTTCTTCTGTGTTAGACGCTCATGTGAAAAATGAGTCTGAGGACAAGAGGCCTAGGACCCCAACATCTCATCTCCGTGGGCAGTCAAAAGAGCATTGAGCTTGAAGTCCCAGATCCTGAGTTCAAAACCCTGCTGGGCTACTTACTATAGCCCAATTACGTGAGGATATATACTCTCTGAATTATTTTATACTATTATATATATATGATGCTTATATATTATATTTAATTATATATAATTTTTATATTATAGAGATGTTATCTAAACAATCTATTTAGATATATTTTATATATAATGTACATTATAAATAAAATTATACAAATATACAATTATATAATTAAATATAATGTTTCTATATGTAATATGTCCTATATTACACATAGAAAATATTCAATATTGTAAGTCAATATTCTATATTACACATGAAACATTATATTTAATTGCATAATTGCAGATACTGTTTTATGTAATATAGAAACAGGTTCTATATGTAATATATACTATAGAATATATAGTATATACTATAGTACAGTAAATAATTAAAATAATATAGAAATGTTCTTTATGTAATACAGAAACATTATATATAAAATATATAATAGAATATAGAAATATATATAATTATACTGTATATTACATTATATAGCATATAACTATACAATTTCTGTGAATAATATAATATACTTTATGGAAACATAGTTATGTATAAAATATATTTTATATAATATATACTTTATATAAAACATCAGACAAACATATAAATTACATAAATGAATGTATTTATATTATAAATATATAATAAATATATAATATATGACATTATATAATATAGAATACATTTATACTGTATTATATATTGCCATATTATATAACTGTAATATATTGTATATAATGCATATGAAATCTATTACAAATTTGTGTAGCATATAAATATAAAATTTTATATGAATAATCTATAAACGTATTTATAAATGAACATAACAATACATGTAAATAATATTTTATGTTGCATTTTGCATATACTTATGTACATGTTGCATTCCTGTCACAGAATGTAAGCTTGCTGAGGACAGGGACTATTTTGATTGCTGTCTTTGTTCTCCCAGTACCCGGCACGTAACAGGCATTTAATAAATCATTTGTTGAATTTAATTGAGAGGAAATAGCCCTAGAATTGAGAGATCTTTGTTCTGATCACACACATTAAGCTCCTCCTGCATACAGTTCACTGATGGAGCTGCCAGCCGGGCAAACAAAAAGCAGCTCTGGCCCGTGAGGGGCCCACATTCTACAGTGGGAGACACCGTATAAATACGAGGTCCAGTAAGATGTCCCCAGAGGAGACGGAAGGTGATCTTAGGGGCCTTAGGGGCCAGGGCCCGAGGGGACAGAAAAAGGCTTCTTGCAGAAGGTGGGATCTGAACCAAGTCTTTGAGAGAAACTAAAAGGTGGCGGTGAGGAGGAGTCATTCTGGGCACGGAAGATGGTCCCCACCAAGGCGCGGTCATGGCAGATGGAGCCACATGTTTAAAGAGCATCCAATGGGCCATTGTAGTTGGAAGATGGTATGCATGGAGGGGACCCTGGTGGGAGGCCTGCCCCATCCCAGCCCCAGGCTAATTCTCTCTCCTCCCTCAGATTACCTGCAACCGTGCTCTACTCTCACGCTTTTACATTCCTTGAGAACAAGCCCTGCTTCATTCTTTGGCTTTGTGACCTCCTGGAAGATGTCTTTTTGTGTGGAGCTGAGCTTTCACTGGTGTAGGTGATCTGCCAGTGAGGAAACGCCCTCTCCCAGTGAAGGGGGACCCTTCTCTGTAACTTAGAGAGACATACTTAGAGCCCTAAGACCCCGTCGCTACCACACCACACTGACCAGCATACAGTAAGCACTTCATAAATGCTTACTGAACAAATGAATAAATACTGGGAGAGACACTGCGTTCCATCCTCAGGACACCTGCAGAAGCTTGCACTGGGGCGCCATTATGCACATTTCTCCTGTTAAAAGCCTCTTAAACCCTTTCCCTGCCTCCTCCCTCCTAACACAAACTGTCTGTTGGATGAAAGACGCTGTTGTCCCAGGCTTCCCAAATTCTCTCTGGATTTCTAGAGGTCAAGCAGTTGTTAACCTTAATTCTGAAGCCCAGGACGCAGGAAAGGCAATGTCTTATCTTCCACTGTTCAGAAAGCTCCCCATGGCTGGGGCTCCCTAGTAAAGTATTGTCCTCCAGGATCCCCCAAAGCACGGATATTCAGCCCCCTGGGAGAGAGAAACGCTTCATCCTTCATTCAATAAGCATTTAGTAAGCACCTATTGTGTACCCAGAAGGCTGCCTGGCACTGAGGAGATAGAGACAAAAAACCAAAGCAATTAGTCTCATTGTCCTCAATGAGCTTACATTTTATTGGGAATGGGAAAGGGGGGTGGGGTGGGGAATCAACATGGTGAGCACTCTGGTGGAATGGAAAGAGCTCGCTATATAGAGTCAGAGGACCTGTGTTCAAATCTCAGCTCTGCTACTTTCTGCCTCTGTGACCCCAGTAAAGTCATGTACCTTCTATGGGCCTCAGTTTCCTTATCTGCAAAATGCAGGGTTTGGTCTTTAGATAACTATTTTCTAAAAAACTATCATCAGATTGCACAGATTTTGCAAACTACGTTAGCTTCTTTTAACATGGCTGCTGGTGAGTAGGTGGAAAAGTCAGTGTCTGGAGCAAATCCTCCAAATTCAAATGGTCAGCCCCTAGATATGGGATTCTCCAGCCGCAGAGCAATGACACTGATTAGAAACTATATACAAAGTGAATTTGGGATGGGGCTGGAGGCAACAGCAAATGTGAGGATGAGAAAAGGTCTCATGGGAAAGATGGCCCCTGAGCTGGACTCCCAGGTAGGGATTCTGATAGAGAGGTGAGGAAGAGGTGCATTCCGGGCATGTGGGGGGAGACCAGGATTAGCTTCTTTCAAAGGCATGGAGGCTATAGATGGACCATCACCCATGAGAGCTCCATGATGCTGAGTGATGTCATTAGCACGAGCCTTTCCTCTGCCATTAAAAACCAACCCCGGGAACTAATCAAACCAGAATTTTATTTTCTTTTTTTTTCTCC